TCTTCCCAGCAGCTCTATTAAGATGCTCATCACTGTCTCACTCAGATACGGGAGGGAGGCGAACAGAGTCGCACGTAGGCCAGTATCCCGGCCTGTACCTCTCGGTCACAGCGAGGTCAGCCACGGCACATGACAACCCCTTGCCCAGGGAAGGGTCCACAGTGACTGACAAGGACAGGACGTCTCCCAGGACACAGAGGGGAGGACTTTCAGTGGCGGCCCCTCTGCAGGGCTTCTCAGTTACTCAGCCAGGACAATTTTGAGGAAGAAAGTGGCCTTTCTGGAGAGGGGCTAGAGCAGGCCTACCATGGCATCCCGGGAGCCCCTGGTGTCCCCGACAGCTCCGGAGGGCACAAGGGGAAGGAGCATCGGTCTGTGACACTGTATGCTGATCAGCAACTCGAACAAAACTTAATTGCTTCCCTGAACCTGAAAAATATCAAACTGCATAAATAAATGTGCTGTAAATTATTAATAAAGGCATTTACATCTGGAGTCGGAGCATGAAAGTTAATTTAATTTCTTATGCTAAACTGGCATGGCACATGATCGCAGCACTCGGAAACACCAAGGGCGAGGAAGAGGAGGAAGACGGGGTGTGGGCAGCCCTGGGCATTTTGCATGTAAAGATCCCAACAATAACAAGAGAGGAGGGATGGTCTGAAGACCTCCTTCAGACCCAGACAGGAGTGGCCCCTGGAAGAGGTGGCACCAACCAGCTCAGTGTGTGAAACCCAGCTCAGCCGCTCACTGAGGGAGTTCTCTGACCTCAGTCTCCTCTTCTGCACAACAGGTTTGTAACAGACACTTCTTGGCTTTTTATAAGCTCAGACTCCTGGCTCTTGGGGACAGGGACATGCTCAGCACATTCCCAGTGTCTCTGGTGCCCTCTGACCTCCTGGATGCTTCTGTTTTGTGAGAGAAAGGGAAATGCAGGCTAAGGAGCTTGGTCCAAGAGAGTAACCCACCCACATCTCCACCTAGAATGCTCTGTGTCTGTGTGTTCTTACTGTGGGCAGGGAGGACAGCCTGTGACAGAGGGCGCAGTCCCTGCTGGCAGGGACGGAACACAGACAGGAGGCGAGGGCCATAGAGGAAAAGTGACTGCTACCCAGGCCCCGAAATGCTCAGGACAGGGAAGAGCGCCGTGTTCCCAGCAGGAAGGTCACTGAAAGCAAACGGCTCCCTGAAAGCCCTGTCGCCAGGTGCCGCACATAGGGTCCACACACTCGCCAGCTGCCTCCAGTCCTGAGTCTCTGTGTTGATCTTGCCTTGGCCTGGTCTCCAAGACTGTCAGGGTTTGGGTTCCTGAGTCTAGATCCCAAACATGCATGGATGAACACACTTCCTAAAGCACCAATGAGCACCGAACATCGCTTATATACTTTCCGCTTCTGGTTCACTTGTGCCTGAAAACAACTGGATAAAGCAATAACCCATTTTACAGGGAAGCAAACCGAGGCCCTCAGAAAAGGGACTCATTCCTGGCCACACAGCTCATTAACATAGCCGGGGACTTAGAACCAGGTCTAATAGCCTGAGCTATTAGAGTCTCTGGTCTGCCCAGCCACGCCTCCTTTTTTTGGTCTCCTTTTCCCTCCCCCTTTTTAAAAACAAATTTATTGAGCAGAAATTCACTAAAAGTAACACTAACTAAAACAATTCAACTGGCACTTAATACAGCCAATGTTATATAGTCATCACCTCCTATATTTTTAAAACAATTCTCTTATTTTTCCAGCTTTGTGGAGGCATAATTGACAAATAAAAATTGCCTATATTAAAGGTATAAGAAATGTGATGATTTGATATACATTGCGAACTGCTTACCATAATCAGGCTGATTAACATATGCATCACCTCAGAGCTACCTCCATGTATGTGTGTGAACACTTGAGAGCAACTCTCACAACAAATATCTTTCTTTTTCTTTTTTCTTTTTTTTTTTTTTTTGAGACAGGGTCAATTCTATAGTTCAAGCCGGTCTTGAACTCACTCTGCAGCCCAAGCTGGCCTGGAACTCCAGACGATCCTGCGTCAGCCTTCTGAGGGCTGGCATTACAGGCGTGTGCCACCATGCCTGGCTCTCACAACAAATTTCAAGGAGACAGCATAGTATTATTAACTGTGGCCGCCATACCAAGTCTCCAGATGTGTTTATCTTGTGACCGAAACACTGTACCCTCTGCTCGCCTCTCCACATCCCGCTGGTCCCCCAGTAACCACCCTTCCACGTTCTGCTTCTAGGAGTGTGACTTTCCATCCACATCCGGGCAAAGATGCTGGGCAGAGGGGGCTGTCAACAGCGCTCGAGGTCTCTTTCCTGGGCGGTAAGGTTTCCTGGCCCCAAACCGGGATGGGAGCACAGATGAAGCCTTAGAGCCTGAGACCTGCAGGAGGAGGGGCACGGCACAGCTCAGTTTTGGGGCAGGAACTGACCCTGACCCATTTCTGCTTTCAATGTGGAGCCCCCACGCCTGGACCTCCATGCCCACCTCAGTCCTACCCTGTGCTTCTGCCTAGCAAGGAGTCAAAAACGCAGTTGGTCCTTGTCCCAGTTAAAAATCACACTGGTTGCAACTAGACAACACCAATGTGCTATCCTGGAGGGTTTTTTTGTTTTTGCTTTTTTTCCATTTGTTGCAAGAAGAAAGGACACAGGTGAGTTGAAAGTGGTGGCTGCCGAGTAACCCTGGGGTGTACCCAGGCCAGGTAGCGTGAGCAGCTCCTGCCTGAAAGAGAAGGTGACAGCAGTCTCTGCCTAGGTACTCAGAGGAACAAGGGCGCCGTCAGTGTGGGACACGTCACTGCCGTCTGTCCCTGCTGCGGATGTCACTCTGTCTTGGTTCCTGACCTAGAAGCAGCCCCACAGGCAGCAGAATGGGACAGCAGCATCCCGGGTCCTGTGACAATATGTCCCAAAGGAAAGGGCGCCTGCTCTAGCTTTTTAAAATGTTAGTTTTGATTTCACTGAAATTGACCTTCCTGAAGGAAATACTTCCAAATGGCACAGACTTTAGAGAAAGCTCCTTAAATAGAATTTTATTTTTATTTATTTATTTATTTATTTATTTTGGTTTTTCTCCGGTACTGGGAACCGAACTCACGACCTTGCACTTGCCAGGCAGGCGCTTTGCCGCTGAGCTAAATCTCCAGCCCCTTTAAATAGAATTTTAGTTAATACTTACCAGGGATAATATTAACATGGAGTAGAATTTCCCTTACAGCAAAGGTGGATGTTTTATTATGTACCTTGAGGTTTTATAGCAATCAAGGGGTCCTTTTGTAATCACTGCTTGAAGTAAATGTTTATGTCCATCTTTCAGGACATGGAGATGAGCTCTGTATTTTACATCTCTGTGGACCCTGTTGTCACCTCCTTGGTGACACACTGCTGGTCACCGCTTTATTCAGCTGTCATTGGGACATCTCTCGGAACATCATCCCCAGGCACCTCAAGAGATAGCTTCCATTCAGACTGCAAGTTCTAAGGACACGGTATTAAGGGAAGCAGGGCACTCCTGAATCCTGCATGTCAGGTATTGGTCTTGGGAGGGAAAAAAAGTCACATTTTCTCAGAAATTGCTTGAATTCTGAGTCAAATATTTCACCCAAGCCAGGAACAGTGGCGCCTTGCCTGTCATCCCAGTATTCTGGGAGGCTGAGGCAGTCAGACTGTAGAGTCAACCCCAGCATAGGCAATTTAGTAATTTACCAAGGCCCTGTGGAGAAATAATCTTAAAGACAGGGTGGGGGCGGGTTGGGGGTGGGGGTGGGATGGAACTCACTGTGAAGATCCTGGGTTTGGTCTCCAGTACTGAAAAATGAATAAATATAAAAGGAAACTATGAATTTCACCTGGAGGACAAGGAGGGCTGAGCTACCCATTAACTGTGTCCCTTCCTGCCTTGCTCTCTGGCCCTTCTCCCTCCCAGCTCCTGAGCTCTGCACATACACCCATATGTGGGGTCATGAGAGATCACAGTGCCTGGACCAGGCCCCATGGCGCTGGTTTCAGCTGTCCCGAGGGCCGCTCTGTGATGTCACTTCCCGGCCCTCGGCCATTGGCCCCTTCTCTCCACCCAGAACTCCCTGGCCCCGCTCGTCCAGGTGTGGGACTCTGGTGTCGGCCGTCCTGTATGGCCACAAGCAAAAAGCAAGGCTCCTCTGTCCCCTCAGAGGTGACACTGGGCCAGTGTGATCCATAGCTGTAAAGAGCTATCTGGTTGTCATGACCGGCAAGGCTGGGACGTGCAAAGTACTCATTCCTCCAAGATGCTCAAAGTCTCTCCCGAGAGAGGGAGGCTGCAGAGGAGGGAAGGGCTCCCTTCCTCTTCCTGGCTGCTACCCTGCTCATGGCAGACGGGTGCCCCTCTTGTCCCCTCTAGAATGGTAACCCTGATTTATTCGTTTGTACGATGAAGGCTCCCTGGGCTGTTGCTGTACAGCTGTCCTAAGACGGAGGATAAGGAAAATGCAAACTGTCTCCGGCTTGCTCTCATGTAAATTCTTCTGCGCCACCCTGGGGTTCCATCTCCCAGGCATCATGTCCTCATTCTGTCCCTCCTTCCCTTCCTCCCTCCCTCCCGCCTTCTCTCTCTCTCCAGAGGCCCTGTGGCAGAGCCCAAGACCTGCTTTCTGAAAGGCCTGAGCCATTGGGAAGAACAGACCAACTGGGCAGCTGGCACACGGGCCTCTCTTCCCCTTTGTCCTCTCCTCCCTGCTGCCCCCATGCCAGCTCCTGGCCTTGCCCGCCAGGAGCAGCCCCAGCTCCTCTCTCCTGCTCCCCCCAGGCCTCGCCCTGCATTACTTCTGTTTCTCCCACATTAGAAGGAATAGAAAGCAAGCAAAGGAAGCTCAGGGAGCCCGGCAGGCGGTTGGGGCAGGGGAGGGGGCCTGGGCTGGTGGCAGAAGTCGCTGACACAGCGTGGTGGCCTTGTGGTCAGGCCCCGAGCGCAGGCAAGCGCTTGTGGTGAGCGTGATAACCGGCAGAGGATTCGGAGAATTTCCGAAGGTTTTGTAACACGAGGTGACAGCGCTGAGCCTTGATAACAAGGTGCTGGGGCGCCGTGCCAAGAAGCTGGGCAGTGGTAACAACCAGGCTTGGCAGGAGGAGACGCGGCTGCCCCCCAGCCTGGCGTGAAATGCAGGCGAACGGTGAGTGCACTTGGAAGACCTCCCTCGCCCGTGGAAGGCTGAGGCTGTGACAGGAATAGAGATGAGCCTGCCAGGCCCCTTCCTGCCCCATGTGTGTGTCCAGCCAGGCTGTCACCACGAGGGTCAGCCCTGGGGTGTCCCCACTGCAGTCCCCTCTCTCTTCCTTGCCTCTCAGGATGGACAGGCCCCTGGCCTTGACGACAGTAGGTTAGGCAGGCAGCAAGGGGTGGATGCGGGGAGGGAGAGCCTCTCAGGGGCCTGGGCTGTGGCTTCCGACACCCTCAGTACAGACAGAGCCACTGAGGCAGGGACCATGGACCCTCAGCAGCTGTGGGTGGACGTCACATCCTGCCTCCCAGGGTCACCTCCTTCCATGTGCTCCGGTGACCTGGCTATCTATCACTCCAGAGGGTTTGTCAGATGCACCCCAGTCCCAGTTCTTTAGGGCCTCGGTGCTTTGCACCAGTGAGGGCCTATGCCCATAAGGCCTGTCCCTTTCCTCCCCGCTGGCTCAGATGATTTCTCTTCTATGCAGACATACCCCTTACCCTTACCCTCTACCCAGGAAAATATGCACACATTTACATCCCTCCCTCGACCATTTGTTTCGCTATCTCTCTTCTGGGCTGCAAGGAGGGGATGTGTTTTATTTTACCTCTCATCCTCAAATCCAGGTCAGAGTCCTCTGCAGATGGATGGGTGGGTGGGTAGATGAGTGAGTGGATGGACCAGTGGGGTAGTGAATGGATGGGTGGGTGGGTGTGTGGGCTGTTGGATGGATGGATGGATGGATGGGTGGGTGGATGGATGGATGGATGGGTAGATGGATGGATGGATGGATAGATGGGTGGATGGATGGATGGATGGATGGGTGGGTGGATGGATGGATGGATGGGTGGATGGATGGATGGATGAGTGGATGGATGGTTGGATGGATGGGCTGCTGGATGGATAGATGGGTGGATGGATGGATGGATGGGTGGATGGATGGATGGATGGATGGATGGATGGATGGATGGATGGATGGATGGGAGGGCTGTTGGGTGGATGGATGGATGGATAGATGGGTGGATGGGTGGGCTGTTGGATGGATGGATGGATGGATGGATAGATGGATGGATGGATGGGTGGATGGATGGATGGATGCATGGATGGATGGATGCA